AAGAGGCAGTCCCAAATGCGCACAAGGGTGCCTGGCTCAAGTCGGAAGCCCTGTATTTAAATTTCTGTTCCATCATGTTTGAGGTYTGAAATTAGTCTGAACCTCGGTTCCTTGTTAAAAATTGAGAATGATAATAGCTTCAAAGGTCGTAGGGTTAGAAGGAATCACATGGGGCCAGGCAGGTGGACACATTTAGAAATTGCTAAGTGCTATTCAAAGGTAAGATGGTCTTTCCATGATCCAGATGATTAATGCACAATACTGTGAATGAGAAAAAGAAGAAAAACGAAAATCCTCAGGCCTGAACGTCCAGAATGACTTTATCCCCTCCCCCCACCTTGGTCAGGTTTGCTGCCCAATTCATTTACTCTCCCCTGCTCACTACGCATCAGAGAGAGCCAAGGAAGACATATGCAGGAGGGAACAGCAGACCCAGGCAACCATTCAGATGATTCAGGCAAAAGAATTCGTTTGTTTGATAAATTAGATATTGCAGTAAAAGTGGCCTACAGGGGAGGGAGCTTAGCTCAAATTGCTAAATTGGGCACATCTGTAATCATCATGGGAGGGTAACAGTCTGTTCCTGGGTGGGGTGGCTCCTGCTTGCTGCTTTGCTGGAGCACATGGCTGACAGCCTTGTCCCCATTCCCTCCCATGGCCGTCTCTGTGTCTCTCTGTGAGTTTCTTTTCCTCTGAACATCTCTCTCTAGCTCCCTCTTCCAACTCTGAATGTCTCTCTCTTGAATCGTTTTTCTGTCTCTGATTTTCCCTTTGACTTTCTGCTTTCTATTTTCTCTCCTGTTATATTTCTACCTGGTCATTTCTCTCTCTCTCTCTCTCTCTCTCTCTCTCTCTCTCTCTCTGACTCAACCTTTTCTCTCTGGCTTCTGGTCTCTTTCCTCTTCCTCTCCCTTTTTCTTGCTGCAAGTTTCTGACTGTCTCTTTCTCTCTCCATCTGTTGGGCTCCCTCTCTCACGTGCCTTGTTTCTCCCCACACCTGTTTCCTTTCCTGTCTTTTTGTCTGTCTCTGTCTGTCTGTCTGTCACTGCCTATCCCCCCACCCCTACCAGTCTCTCGGACTCAGAAAGCTGCTTGCCCACTCACAAAATCTGCTTCTTTGTTCCTCCGTGACCAATTTTTGTTTCCTCTGGTGAGGAAAGTAGCTCAGGCCTTAACCCATTTCCTCCGGCGCATCCCAATTAATTAGGTGAGACCCGGGATCGCACATTTCAGAATTAGAAGAATATTTATTGAGTACCCTGGAGAGAATTGGATGGAAGATGGCAAGGAACCAGAGCAAGCAGGGAGGTCACTGAGCTCAGGGGATGGGACCGGGAACTGTTGTCAGAGGGGCCACATGGTCTGGGTGTGAGGACTGCCTTTCTAATTGCCAGAGGGCACTGGGAAGGGTCAGTTCTTGGAGGACTATTTAGCAGTAGGTAAGGAACTAGAATCATTTCCTTGGTCATCATGCTCGTCCTTGGAACCACACACAGTAGGGTCCCTGGCTTCAGACAGCCTTCTAGCCGCCTTAAGAAGCACATTTTTTTTTTTTTTTCCAGAACCTACCCTTGGCTCTGCTGCCCAGCTCAGCCTCAGCTCACGGGGCATCCAAAGTCTTCTCCCAAGTTATTTGCTTCCATGGTATGACCAAGAGACATGCAGAAACAGCCTAACTACAACCCAGAGTTATGACTCATTGTCTGCTAAACAGACCAGATCCAAGTCCACTTGGCATGCACCTGGCCTGTTGGTCTTCAGGAAGGTACTGGAGGCCTGAATGGTGCCTATGTCCTGCAGATGGTTTCCCAGAATTTCCCCATGTTGGGAAAAGGAACCTCAGGTTGAAAAATCTCTCTCTGGTGGTTCCTCTTTGGCCAGTGAGCCCTGGAGCCACTCCTAGGAAACTGCCATTTAAATTGCCCCTGTGGATGAGAGTAGGCTGGACAGAAAGTCCTTCAAGGCTGGGCATAGGGACACCCTTCTTCCTTTCTTTATATTGTGGCTGTGTGGGTACCAAGACTTGAGGATAGTGATGATCCAGACAGACAGGGCTGCCCTTCTTCAGGACACTTAGGTTAGTGTCTCTAGACACTCTGTGTCCTCTGGAGCCCACCTGGTGTTCATTCTTTTTATGGGCTGCTCAGTGGATGTTTGTGGACCTGAATTGCATTCATGATAAACACCCAGTTCACAGAGTGCTGAGTGGATGTTGATCAGAGTTTCTCAACTTCACCACGAAGGACATTTGGGGCTTGATAATTCTCTGTCATGAGGCCTGACCTGTGCCTTGTAGGATATTGAACAGCCCTCTCTGGCCTCTGCCCATCAGAAGCCAGTAGCACTTCTCTCCTCAGTCATGACTACCCAAAATGTTTCCAGACATGGCTGAACGTCCCTGCAGGAGGTGGAAAATCACCCTGATTGAGAACCACGGGTGCAGGTTCACCGTGACTGCCCAAAGGGAATGGGTCCAGCCCCATGATTCCATTCTCCTTCATCGAGCACCAGAGAAGTAGGAGTCTTTCTGAGAACTTGGGAGGCCAGAAAAAGAATAAGACTTTTKCGGGGGAAATGTCTTTATTGAGATATCATTTACCTACTGTAAAACTCATGCTTCAATTTTAAAGTGTAGAACAAAAAAAAAAGCCAGATAATGCCAAGTGTTGACAGGATGTAGGGCAATAGGAATCTTCATACTCGGCTGCTGGGAATGTAAAATTATGCATACCCCTTCGGCTGCATTATCTGGGCTTCTTGGTTGTATCTGAATGGGTATCACGGTTCGACTTTGATTTGCATTTCCCTAGTGATCGATGATGCTGAGTTACTTCTGATATTTACTTTCTTTGAAGAAATGCCTGTTTAAATACTTTGCCCATTTTAAAATTGAGGTATTTGGGTCTTTTTTTTTTTTTAAATCATTAAGTTGTAAGATTTCTTTGTCGGTTCTGGACACAAGTCTCTTATCAGWTATGTTTTGCAAATGCTTTCTTCTGTTGTATGAATTGCCTTTCATCATCTTGATGGTTCTCCTCTGATGCACAAATATTTTAAATTCATCTATTTATTCTTTGGCTGCTTGTACTTTCAGGGTCATATCTAAGAAGTCATTGCCAAGTTTGAGAAGTAGCAAAGATATACTCCTATATTTTTTTCTAAGAATTTATAAGTTTAAGACTATTATTTAAGTGTGTGATCTATTTCCAAGTGACTTTTGCATACCATGTGATATAATGGTCCAACTTGATTCTTTTGTGTGTGGAAATCTACTTGTCCCAGGACCATGTTTTGAAAAAAAAAGCTGTTCTTTCTCCACCAAATGATCTTGTCACTCTAACTGAAAATGAATCGACCATAGATATATAAGTTTACTTTTACCCTCTCAATTTTATTCCATTGGCCTGTATGCCTATCATAACTYACAGTTCACTGATGTTTTTAGTCACCAAAAGGTGATAGGAATAATTAACTCAATAATTAGAAGAGTGAAGGAACCCAAGTCTTCTTGCATAGATGTGTGGTTTAAAAAGATAAAGTTGTCAAATTTTAGAATCCAGAGGGGAAAAAAATAGTTAAAATTCAGTTTGGTATTTGCCTCAAGGTTCATGACTGATCAGGGGCAGAGCTGGGACTGGAACCCAAACCTCTTGACTGTCCAGGGCAATGATTGTTCTCATTCCTGGACACGGAAGGTCAGCTCGCTAGCTGTGAACCCCGGGTTTGCTTGATTTCCTTTCCCAGAGCAGTGAGATTCTGCGTTCTCCTTGACTTACTTGATCCACCGTCGTGAATGGGGGGTGGTGGCATGTGTCTGCTCTTTCCTTGACAGGCCGAGAGAAAAGAAAGCCAGCRAGGGGAAAGCATTTGGAAAATCCCAAATTGCTATATAAATGCCACTAAATGATAAGATTGCCACCTCAATGCTCTTTGAGGAAGGTTCAGCATGTCACAGGCAGCATAATGGAAGGAAACAATTCACTCCCAGACGTGTCTTTCAACGGCTGTGGCTGTCACTCCCTGAGAGGGCAGAGTGTGGGAGCTGGACTCAGGTGCAAAGGGAAACTTGGGGTGGTCTGGGCACCCAGTTGGGGAGAGCGATTTCCCCTAAATTCTTTCCATAGAGGGCAATAAGGGGGCCCTATCTACTTCTGTCTCTGCAGCGACTGGGGCATGCTGAGTCCTCAATAATGCATGTTTGGTTGTTGATGTCAGATGTTGTGTAAACAGAACCTGCTTTCTCTGGTTACTGAGACTTCTGCAGAAGGGTGGTCTCTCCCTTTCTGGCAGAGTCTGTGTGTGTGTGTGTCTCTTTCTCCCTGTATTTTTTTTTCCAATGTTTGTAATTTCTCCCTTCCTTAAACTCCATTTGCCTTTGCTGTCTACACCATCATGTATTCTGATATTTACCTTTTTATCTTTGAATTCTGGCTTTGCTATTAAATTGCACTTTTTTTTTGACTGCAGGGGTTGTGTGTTGTACTTATTTGGGTCACCAGTATTTAGTACTCAGTGTGTGTGTGTGTGTGTGTGTGTGTGTGTGTGTGTGTGTTTTAGATGGGGATGTTGGTCCCTCGATAATTAGTAACCTGCTGGTGAATTTGAGGCCAGGGGTGTCAGCCCTTCCCTGTAGGGCTTTCCGCTGGCCAGCTGCTGTGTCTGATGTAGGTGGGTATCGGGGRGAACCAGGATTTTGAAAAGCCTGAGTTCACAGATGTGAAATGAATTAAAGAGAGAGAGAGAAAGAGAGAGAGAAAAAAAAACAAACTATAATCATAGCCTGTTAGTGTCTGTACCCACAGGCATGGCAACCTCTACCCTGTGTCCCCACTGAGACCAACACCAGATAAAGCTATGACTATTGAGAACTGAATGCCATATCTCTGTCTGTTCCTCCTACAGGTCTATGAATCAAAAAGCCTATGGAAGGAAACAAGCGACCTTCGGGGTTGTGCACACCTGCTCAGAGAATCTCATTGTGTGATCTCTTCCTTGTTTAGGGCTCTGGCTGACATCTTAAGACAACAGGGACCAATCCCCATAGCACACTGTGAAAGAGAAACTATCTCGGCAATCGATACCTCTCCCAAAGAGAACACTCCGGTCAGATCATCCTCCAAAAACCACTACACCCCTGTGCGTACGGCCAAGCAGACCCCAGGTACGTGAGAGCTGATTACTCGAATCCTGGCTGAGAATGCGGTGAAATTTTGGTGATGTTTCCTGTTCTGGTGCAGCAGGTCATGCGGGATTGTGCAATGAAGGATACCCCAGTGGACAGACAGGCTTGTGAAAGAGATTGGGGACTGTCTTCCTGGGAAGGATTTGTGATGAGAGAGACCACTGCCAGTCGTCAGTGTCTGGACCCGACAAGGGCTGGTGACTTGGGGCATCTGCAAGTTATTGAGAGGCTGGAATAAATCTCTTAAGTGAAAGGTGGCTTGGAGCAGACGTGGTGGAGTGGAGGGAGGACACGCATTYGTTTGTATGGCTGGGAGGTTTGTGCTGCCTAAGATCCTGGGTACATAAAAAGAAAGTCTGCATCCAGAGGCAGAGCTTCCTCAGCTGTTAGAATCTCAGGGAGTTCTTCCCGAGAGGAGCAATATCGTCTGTATTTTAGGGTGATCCTTTCCTGTGAGCTATGGACTTCTTTGATAAAGAGCTGTCATAGAAAAATGCAATACAGTTGTCTTTTGGTGTCTGTGGGAAATTGATTMCAGGACCCAATAGGACACCAAATTTTCATGCTCAGCTCTCTTAGTATRAATGACATAGTATTGTGTCTAATTTATACCATCCTCCTGTGTACCTCAAATGATTTGATTACCAATAACACCTAATATAATGTAAACGCTACAGAAACACCATGTTGTTTAGAGAATGATGACAGTTTTAGTAAAGATACAGTTTTTAAAAAAGAGTTTTGATTCATGGTAGAATCCTGTTGGACAGAGGGTCGCAGTTGGACGCAGAACCTGTGGATGTGGAGGACAGACGGTACTTTCTCCTTTTTTACTTGTAACACTATGAAGGGAACTGGGTGGGACTTCTTTTCCTTGTCTTATGGATCAATCAATGAAACTCAAGGAAGTTTTAGTGACTTGAGCAAAGTCAAGGTATAAACAATTATAAAAACATTAGTAATATAACCTAAATATGTACTGGGCTCTTGCCCAGTGCCAGGGTCATGCTGAACATTTTGCATTTGTTTTTTTTATTTATTTGTCACAACAATTGTAGAAGTACTTGTACCATCTTTATTCTGAGAAGTGGAAGAGTTAGGGGACTTTCCCAAGGCCAACATGATCAGTAAGAAAAAAAACCAGGATTCAAACCAAAGCAAATAGCTAAGAACAGTCTGTTTTGGAAAACCACCATGTCCTTACCCAGCTGGGGACAGGAATGAAAGATCTCTGAGTGCAAATATCCTTACAAGTACATCTTGAGAAGTCACATCTCACTGTGAACATTACCAGTCCCAGACACAGCTTTTACTTGGGTGCTTGGATCTAGAACTTTTATATCTGCCACCTGTAGAGGTTTTCCAGGGGTCTGAACTAAACCTTCAATAAGGATAGACAGCCACTAGGTGGCGATAGGAGTGTCCAAGTCCAAAACTTGTCAGAGAGGGACTTAGGAGATCAAATTCGTTCTTTAACTTCTTAAACTTATTAAGTCATATTTGCCTTTAAGGTAGTATTCTTAAGTCTTTGGAGCATTCTGATAAAAGCTAAGGACATTCTCCCTTGAAAATATACATATGCATATGAATAATACATATATTCATCCAGTAGTTGTGTAGGATTTAAGGGGATTCACAGACTCCCTCCAAAGTTAGAAGTCCCAATTTTAAAGGTGAAGATGAGTGATCCGCCTTTGCATAAAGTCTAGGATGCATTTTCAGCCTTAATAGCCTAGATTCTTGAAATGGAAGCAATAAGAAAAGGAGTCTTGGCAAAAAAAAACCAACGGTCTGGGCAGTGGTCACCTATCTGGTTGCGTGTTAGAAACAGCAAGAGAGTCCTTAAAAATGCTGAGGTACAAGCTCCTCAAATTAATCAGAGTTCCCAGGCAGTGGAGCTGACACCAGTATTTTTGAAAATCTCCTCGAGGGGATTCTAACCTGCAGCCAGGGTGAAGAATCCCTTATCCAGATGGATTCCTTCATACCCTGAGTGAAGACGCTGCATGCCAGGGATCCTCAATTTGGCTCACATTAGAGTCACCTGCAGAGCTTGAAGCATTAGGGATGACGGCGTCCTTCTCTCCAATATCATGATTTCATAGGTGTGAGGATGTGGCCTGATCTTGGGAGTGGGCAAGGTTTCAAGCTTCCCTGAATGTGAGCCACATTTTAAGAATGGGTGGATTTRGGGAATTGCCCAAAGGTGCCAGTCTAACCGATCCTTACTGTCGTTGACCACTCTGGATTCTAACCTTGATCATCTCCCCAGCTTTGAGGAAGGTGTTTTTTTTTTTGTTTGTTTGTTTGTTTCCCCAAAGATGCATCATTCGAAGTTAATCTCCTCTAGGGCCTTGTTTGAAATTCTGCAACTTCAGGTCACTTTGGCATCCATCAACAGCGCCCATGGTTATTTATCCTAACCTTTCCTTTCAGTTTTCCTGTGTCTCATTTACAAGTGCCAGTTCCCAACCACTGAATCCAGGCTGATTAAGTGAACACTCTAGATTTGCCCTTAAATGCCCTTCTCTGGGCAGGAAGTTCTGTCATGTCTTCTGGTTTCCACATACACACTCTCACTTTTAGTGAGCTAAAGAGAATAGCTTACAGTCCAGTGATTCACTTCTATGTTTAAAAAAAAAAATCCCTCCCTGTTTTTCTCAAATTATGACTTTCCACTTTGCTTTTCAGGATGGGAATGGTTTCCCTGGCCCAGAAAGCATCCTCAGTGGTGAAACCGAAATGTAAAAAGCAATTTCACAACAAGTTACATCTTCCATAGCTTATAACAGACACAATGCTTTCCCAAATAGCTGCTATCCTTTGCCACACAATATTGCAAATTTGAGCTGAAGTTTTAAACAGAACTTTGGATACATGTTCAAAGTGGAAATGTACTGTGATTTTGCACTCATCAAATCAACCAACCACCAACTGTAGTAAAGTGGCAAGAGTTCTTAGGGGGATATTGAGAGATCCAGAAATACCAGGAGGCATCAGAGCACATGACTGGCTTTGCTGCTCAAAACGTGTTGGTGGACTGGCTGCATTAGCATTGCCYGGGAGAGCCTCGGGCCTTTAAGATGGTAGTCTTAAATCTTTTCAGCATCTGAAAAAAAGCTAAAGACATTCTTCCTTGAAAATGTACATATACATAATGAGGTGAGATTCTACCTCACCTGCTGAATAAGAGTTTTCATTTTAGTGAACCCATCTGACAGAGTTTAAGAGTGTGGGCTGGGTTTGGGCTTTGGTACTTTCATTGTGCATGCTATCTTGGCCTTCTGGGTTTCCTGGCCTGCCATTGAGACCACTGACTCTTGCTTCCTAGAGTCATTTTATGGGTAGAAAGAGTTAAACCCAGCAGATCTTTTAAAATAGGTCCCTGTTGGCCATGATCAGGATGTGGAAGTCTATCCACAGTTTTTGGCAAAGGAGTCAAGTGAATAAGAGAAACCAAGACCTCTGGCACGGGTGTTCTGAGGTCAGGCAAGGTCCACGGAGTTGTGTCTGGGATGATAGCCCGTGGGACTCTGGTTTCTTGTGCTTATCTCCTGCATGAGGCTCATCCTCTGGGAATGAGTGAGGTTTGGGGGCCAACTTGGTCAGGGTGGTGAACATTGAAAGCACATCTTGTTTGGTTTTGAGAAGTGGAAGGAGAGTCCTGCAGGAATAATAAAAGCCATGATCACGGAAGTAGCACAAGTACTATGCATTGAGTACCTAAGATGTACGGGATGCTCTGCCAGGTACCTAGTACCCAGAATATTTCTTAGCTCTGGAAACTCATGATCTACATTGGCAGAAAGATCCTCTTTCTTGATCTAGGAGTCCAACTCATCCAGGATACCCTTCCCCATCTTTAAAGGGAGCATCATCATGGTCACTTACTTGGACATAGAAAACCGGTGAAGCCTATCTCCATTCCCCACTTCTCAAAGGTGGCTGTCTGTAGGCCCTCGCTACTCAAACTTTTGCCCATGAGCCAATGACAACTCTCTCATGGGAATCATTTGAAAACTCAGAGTCTTGAGCCCCACCCCAGACCTACTAAATCGGAGTCTGCATTTTAACCATACGCCCAGGTGATGGGTGCACACGATGCAGTTGAAGAGGACCCCTCTAGTACAGTGATTCTTAGTCTTGGCTGCCCATTGGAATTGTGAGGGGATTTCTGAAAATCCTAATTCCTGGCTGCCACCCCAGATCTTCTGATCGAATTGGTCTGAAGTAGACCCGAACATCACTGCTCATCGCGTTTTAAAAACTTCCCACCCTGCTCTCATGTTCAGCAAACTTTGAGAACTGGAAGCTCCGGAGGAGCCTTCCAAACAGGGAAAGCATCYCTTGAAGATGGTGGGATTCAGGTGCACCCACAAGATGGAGACTGGCCGGTCAGAACCAGTGGGCTCTAGTGAGGCATCCTCTCATGGCAAGTGGGGACAAAGGGAGTGGAGGACTTGGGCTTATAGGATCGAGGAGGTAAGCTTTGAATGGAGGCACCTCAGGGGTCACAGGCACAGGTACARATATCAGAATGAATTAGAAGATCAAGCGGAACCTTTGGGAGCAGCACCAGAGCTGGTATCGCAGGTCTTCTGAGCTCAAGATCCCAGCGGCCTCCTGCGGGTTTGGTCTTCACAGACGGGGAGGAGGGGAGATCTRGCATGTCTRCTTGGCCTGACCGCCTCCTGAAGAKCCTGTCTTGGGTATCTGGAGAGAATAGGGTGCCCATCCTGAGCGGTAGCCATGCGATCATACGTTGAGTTTCCAGGATGTTGATATGCAACTCCCCAGCATTGAGAGCCACATCAGCTGGAGGCAGTAGATATTTATGTCCCATCTACACACCACGGTGCATTGGATAAATGAGTCATCRGTCATCCTGCCTGTTGTCAGAGCCACAGCCTCGGATGGAGGACTCAGGAGCCAAGGAGCCTGACTCCGTAAGCTTCACYGAGACCAAGAATGATGGCTGA